AACTACAAGTACCTACAGATCAATGAAGGCTGGGCCTGGAAAAGGCCAGCTCTGCACACAGCCATGGCACCCCCAGCATGGTCCCGCTGTGCTCCCCAAGGCTCTGTCAACACAGTTTCGTGATGCCAAGAGAAGGAAAGCTGCATTCCTCCACATACATCATTCAGCTCTTGCCTTTCATAAAAACTCTCCCAGACTTCAGGAGGATGTCAAACTAGAACCACTTTTTTGTCACTTCTAAAGCAACCACTATTCCTGTATCTAAAGACATGCTGCCCTCTGTGAACTGAAATCAAAGAGGGTCAAACATGCCAGGACAGCTGTGCTGAGAAAGGACCAGCTCTGTGATGGGTATGAAGATTGTCTTTTTAAAAAAATATATAAAATATAATTTGAAAAACAAGGAATAAAACAAACCCTTAGTGGATACATAAAACACTCATCTTTTAATTGCATAACATCCAGAGAAGAAATGGAAGATCAGCATAGTGTATACAGTGTTAAAAATAGCTTCAACAACCCAGTTCTAGAGTGACAGAGCCTGCAAGTACCTTTGTGCCAGCCCTCCGACTAGTTATGCTGCGCTGGAAGAGACACAATCAAGCAACAGTACAGCAGAGGCCTCAAGTCAGGAATAACACAAGGGCGGAGAACTGGTAACACTTATTTGCTCTTTCACACAATGCAAGTCCTAGGCCCAAGAAAATGATCTGACAAAACAACTTGCGTCTTCACACAACATATGAATAAATGGAGTATAATTAATGCATAACTAAATAGCAAAACTCATTGCTGCAGGATGCTGTAGAAATCGAAAGCATGACCAGATTCAGAAAAGGATGTACAGGTTTCTGGTAGACAGACATGGTAAATCACTGGGTGCCAGACATAGTGGTCCGGAGGCAGCCGCCAGCTCTCAATGCTTGAAGAGACAATTGCTGGAAAGCAGAGAAAACTGACTCGAACCATGCTCTCCTTGTTACACCTGCAAGCATCAGCCACTGGCCTCTGGCATGGAGACGATCTGGGTTAGACCTTTGGTCTGGTCATTTTGACACCCTCATTATTCTTCTAACGTTTTTCTTGCACAAGCTAATTCTAAGAAAATCTAACTTCGCCCCTCTTCTTCCACCTCCCCCTTCCATTAAACCACTTTCCCCTCCACGACGTGCTCCCAACCCAGTGCTGCTGACACTCCTGCTGCCCACCGGATTTCCCATTCCCAGGCTCCCGGCCACCCTGCAATCGCAGGTACCGTGTCCTCAGCCTAACACAGCACCAGCTCCATCCCTGCAGGACGAGGATGCATCACAGGACTGACCATGCCGCTAATTCAAGCAGGAACTGGAACAATAAACCACAGAGGCTCCTGAAAGAGCAAAGGGAGCACAAACGAGAGCTGATCCCTGTCTTAGAATAAGCACTAATGAATTTACCCAGGCTACCTGAGGATACTCTTGGGGTAGCAGCTTGGTTGTAACTTGTTAGCTGCAGCAGCTTTCCTTTTAGCATAAATCTTGACCCACAGCCTCCTGCTTGCTGCAGGTATTACTCCACCGGTGTGCCTCTCTCCTGACATGAAGCACTCTCTGCTATTTCCATCCTGAGCATCCAGCTCCAATGATGTAGTTCAGGTTCTGCACCTCAGTCCTAACCCACAGGGCCTCTGCGGATCGACATGACAGGTACATAAGGAGAACTGGCAGACAGGATGGCGGCTCTCTATCGAGATGGTTTAGGGGGATATCTGAAATGTTGCAGCATTCAAAGAAAGCCTCCTCTGCTTTCTGCTGCCCTCCCACAAGGCTGAGCTAATCGAAGTGAAGAACATGATAAACTCCCTGCCCCGAGTCAGCTCTACACTGACAGTTCACTAGAGATACAAGATCGCTCAGTGACATTAAAAATGTCAGCAAACACCGATCAGGCTTGACGGAAGGGATGCATTAGCAGGCTAGGGGGGCACAGGGCAAGGTAAAACTTCAGCAAACACTGTCAAGTGCACAGGAAGCTTTTCTCCCTCTGTCCTCCACAGGCAGCTTTTTCATGGATCCCAAGATGCTGTGGCCACCATCGTAGCCATCAGGTGTGGAGCTCACCACCACCTGCACAGCCAGATCAATCCAAAAAGGTTTGCCTGGGGCAACACAAGCGTGGCAGCTAGTGGGGGCCGATTCCTGTCTTCAGCTTGCCTGAGAAGCAAGTCTTGCAAACTGTGAAAGAGGCACAGGGCTCCCACCTCAACTGCCTCTGCAGCATAGAAGTGACAAGGGAAGGAGTTTATTGGAGAATGAACCCTGAGAAAGACCATCTCACCACCTCGGGAAGACAGACTGTTGAGCTTTGGAGCATCCCACGCTCTTGCACAGAGACCACAGACAAGGACTGCTTCTTCAAATGATACAAAACAGAGATAAAGAGGAGCTGAAGCCACGTATACACGGGCAGAGGGAAACTTAAACATATTTTGTTGCTACTGCACTACACACAGGTACACAAACACACCTGCCCCATGCACACACCTTTCCGTACGTAATCCCCCTCTTTTGCATTGCCTTGCATTTGCAGCAGCAGCTCCCTAACTCAGAAGGGTCCTCTTGTTATTACTACTCACAAGCAGAGACCCAAAGGAGAGACAGCAGATGCAGGTGGAGCCATCCTGCAGGAAACCACTCTCAGTCACACATGCCTGTTTTCTGAACATCTGAAACATCCAAGTCTCTGCATTATCCATGACCTGGAAACTAGCAGTTTCACACATCCCTGCCCCTCAACACCTTCACTTCATAGATCAGGTCAGAGGCAGACTCAGCCTAGGAGGTATTTCTAAGTCAGGAACGTGCCAGAGGGAGAGGAAAATGGGCCACCTGAGCTATGCAGGGAAGAACAGCAGGGCTGGTTACCTGTCCACCCTTATTTGTCTCACCCTGAGAGCTCACCCAAAAGAGACTGAGTTCTAGCTGCTTGGTTCTGGCTGCTTGGATAGAATTACTTATCTAGGCTGGAAATCCTCCCTCATGAAAACACACAGGTGGTTCCACCCAAGCACCCCCCGAGAGTGGGGCAGTGAGCAGCATGGAAAGATCCTCACTCCGGGGTAAGAGCAAGCCCCAGGAGAAGCAGGTCTTAGCCACAGGACAGGAGAGGTCCCTGCTCTCCACTTCAACCTGAGTGACTTCCCAGAGGAGTGCAGGGACCCTGGTACCACCCTGTGTCACAGGGCATCAGATGTTAAAGAGTCAGAAAAGCTTCAGATTTTTAAGGGATTAGAGGGGTTGGAGGAAGACGAGTATTTCTCACACACATCCCCTACCCACATCATCTGAAGGAGACTGGAGCCTTACTTTCTGAGTAACACATCTGCGGAGGAGGACAACCCCAACCCAGGTGCCCCCATCCTATATGCTGAGCAGGTGATCCCTTCAGAGAGCTGGGCAAGGGAACATTTCACTGCAACAGCTTCCCTCCTCCTCCTGCCTTTAGCTCTGTTCTTGGTACTCCACGGATGCTCACCAGCCCTCAACTTAGTATCACAGCATATGCTGAAGTACAATACATGAATGCTCATCTTGAGGAACAGCTGCTTGCCTGGACGTCCACACTGCGATGAATCCCAGCTCCTAACACGCTAAATCCAGGAGCCTTGAACTATGGGAAAGAGCCGTAAGTCATTCATCCTGAGGCCTAGAGGAAGAGCACGGCTGGATCAACCTACTTCTTAGTGAACATCATGGTACACAGGGATTTTTTTTTAAAAAATATTATTATTCTGCAGCCATCAACCTGCTGGTTATATAGCTGCTATCCATTCACCGGAAGTTTAGTGAACCTCAAATGGCGATCATTAATGGTCACTGAACTGCAGAATGCCCCAATGTGCTTTCAGATTTCATTTACCAAGGACCAGCAATCAGCCAAAAGATTTGCTCTGACAGCAGGGAAATACAAGACCCTTTGACAAGTTCAGCCGGGAATGTGCTGCCAGCATCCCTTGTTAAGTTCATGTTCTACCCTATTTGACGGAACAGATCATGCAAATTGTCCTTCTGTGGCCGCTCAGCCTGTCACTCACGCTTCCATTTAAAACAATAAATAAATAAAAGAACAAAAGAAAAGCCCACAAGTACAACGAGTTGTTTACAAGCAAATTCCACTTACCGAGACCCCTAATTATCAGGAAAAGGCGCAGAAACCCAAATAAAACATTAAATTGGATGGGGGAAGGGAATCTTACTCATCCAAAGGTTTAACCAGGAGGGCCACCTCAGTTTCTCTTGTGTGCAGACTGCGGCCTCCCTCCTCACCCTGCTACTGCTTGTAATCGCTCTTGTTCTTTTCTTCCCACTTTGATTTGTGACTTATGGCGTCACCACATTTTCCTGTGCAGATAAAGCAGCTGTGCCAGGAGACCCTGTGGATGCACAGCAGGCTGCTCCTTAACCACCCAGAGAAGGTGTGGAGTAACAGAAGGCACCAGACAGTAAAGTTCAAGGCATTTTCCTTTGCAAAGTGACCACCTGTCTCTTAGGTGGACGTGTTGCTGAGACACCTCCCCTTTCCCACACCACAAAGGGAAATGCTGATTTTTATACTGGAATATTTCCACATTTATCAAAGAGAATTTGATCTGAAGGGAACCATGCTCCTAGGAGCCTTATATGGCTGCAAAACAAAACAGAGTCAGCAACACTGGGGCCAACACAACCTATGCTGAAGAGGGGTCTCACAGTGTCCCACTATTATATGGAGACACCGCACTGTGCCTGCCACAATGGGATTCTCCCCAGCTGCAGCACACATCCCATCAAGTACAGTAAGACTCTATTAGAGGAGATACAATAGGGAGCCAGAGGACTCGCTCAGCCCAGCTTCTGAGAAAATAACTCATTTCAATGCAAAACAGCAGTAGTTATTAGACACCTCCTTAAAGAGGAAAGGAGAAGGACAAGGGGAACGGGGAGGGAGGGAGATGGGGACCATGGCAGTTTGCACAAAAGTACCTTTTTCAGATTAATCCACTGTTTGAAGTAATCAGCAACCGGCAGCCCTAAGTACTGGCATTGTCCTGGTAACCTGTAAGAGAGAAGAGAGAGTAGGTTTGATTCAATCAGTGTCCTGACAACACAAACTCTGTTTTCTTAAATGCATTTTGTTCTGAGACGGAAGAGACCCTCAAGTCTGCTGTAACATGCTGCACATCAGAAGGACCGTAGCTCTTGGCAAAAAAAAAAAAATCTCACAAGAGCACAGCTTGGCTGAAGACTTACATACATCCAGCCATACCCAGACTGCTGATACCTTTCAGACTGAACATTTTGAACAGGAGCTGTGTGCAAACGCAGCATGCAGCTCTTCTCCACAGTGGCTAACACACAAACATGACTGGAGCACCCAGGCTGTCCTTAGCTAAGTGAACTCATCACAGATCCCTGCAAAAATCATCCTGCTCAGCCAGCGGCTTACAGAGCAGACAGAAGGGCTGACGATTCACCTGCCATGCCCTGGTGCTTTTCCATTTGGCCTTTACAGTTAAAACACCGAATGAGACGTGAGGGAGAGAATGATGCACCAACGCATTCATTTTTTGGGTAGTAATGCTGCGGGACCAATGTTTTAGGGCTAAGAAAGCAGAGACTGTTTTCCAAGCAGGTGCTTGGAAGAAGGCAGCAGTCACAACTCTGAAGATGCAAGGTGCTGCACACTGACTATGGGTTTGAGCACCAGCAGTCAGAGCTGCGAGCACACATATTTAACCTCTCCCTTCCTACAGCAAGCTGCTGGAATAGGGCATACAAAACCAAACAGCACCGGTAAGGGAGGTGGACTGCCTGAAGGGACAGCAGGATCTCAGCATTTGGACAGATGTTTCTCCCAACCTGTGCCAACCCCAGTGTGTTCACAGGGGAGCTACTTGCCCCTCAGATGGGGAAGGCTGAGTTGCAAAGCCATGCAGCTCCAGCCGAGCCAGTGCAAGGAGATGAGTTATGTGAGTTTTCCCCGGCCGGTTTGATCTGATCAAGAGTAATTGATGGATCTTGTTCATTCACGTACTGCTGAGCACGCCTGGGGCACTGGTCACAGGATCTTTAACTGAAGCAAAGGAACATCCCAAATAAATATGTCAACTAAATAAATGACTAAATTAGAGCCATTTGTGCATGTTAAGAGCCACAACCCCAGAAACCGGCTTTTGCAAACAGAGGGGGGTTGGGAATCTCACAACTTCCTCGGGCACGTTGGGGAGGTAGGGAGAGGTTGTAGGGGAGGAGGGAAGAGCTGTGAGTGCCAGCATCAGCTGCTCAAACATCTCAACACAGACTATGTCCAAGGCAAAGTCTTTGCCCATTCTCCATAGAGGAAGGAGTGACTAATCCAGACTGGACTTCAGACTCAAGGCTGAAATTCAGGAACAAGCTCTAGATAGATGTGGATACAAGCTAGATACACCACCTTGAGCTGGGGTGCACCATCAACACCCCACGCAGTACCTCAGCGCTCAGCCCAGCTCCAAACCCTCTGGTGAACAGGGCAGCATCTCTTCAGACCTACAAGCAGTTTCCCAAGTAAGGAGATGAAGGAGGGACACAGATAAGGCACTTGCAGATAATGTGAGACTCAGAGTAGTGTAGCACCAGAGTGGTTTGGTCTCAGTGCTGCCTCCATTTCTATGGGAAGAAAAGGAAGGAAGCTGGCAAACATATCCAGGGGAATCTCCTGGGAATATGTGGCCAACGCAGCCAGCACACACTGGGACACACCAGTGTACTGGCTTTGTGAGCCCTGCTTAGGCTAAGAAAGGAATAGACTCCCTGTGCCAAAACCAAATGCCTGGTCCTGAAAAGATGCACATGTCATCATTCAGGAGCAATAATTTAAGTTATACACAAACATTTAGATAAGGAGGTCCAGAGGAATCTCTTTGAAAGCAGGAAGCCTGTCAAAGGAACGAGCTTGCAAGCAGCAGGGCTATGGCGATTTGCAGGGTAAGCAATGTGACTTGACAGCACAGTCTCATCTCTGGGCACGGCTCATCTGATGCTAGCACCATCGCGCTGAGATAAACCACCTGGAGTCACTCCTCACAATTGCATAGCCGTCACATAAATAGCAGCCCGGTCCATGCATTTTACAGCCATTACACATATGTCCATGACATCCTGTAGTTGAACAGACCCCACCAGCTCCAACCAGCATGCTAAGAAAGCTCTTTCTCCAGGAAAGCTGCTTTGTACTGGTGTCCAAATCATAAAAATCACAAGAAAAGGAAGCACCTAAAACAAATGACTGGTCTAAATACAGACACCTGTACAAACTCAACCTCTCTTAGACTGCTCACATTTAGCTAGAGAGGATGACAGCAGTTAGCAAAAGGTATCTTACTAAAAGCTGAGTTTCTCCTCACAAACCAAGAGGTTTTCATGAATACAGGTCTCAGCATAGCTCCGGTTAGAGGAATAATTATCAATTGACCTACATTTGGATAGGGTCCAGAAGAAGCGAGTACAGCATTGTTCTTGTTAAGACACAGGAATTGACTGCTAACCACCCAGTGCAATGAATGACATCTAAAGCATTTCCATCCCTGTGGGACCCAGCAAACTGGACAGTCTGGTTCTATTTCCACCTTGAGACTGACAGCAGTATGCCCTGGGCACTGGACAGTGGGTCTTTAATTGGAGAAAATAAATGTTCCAAATAAATATGTCAACTAAATAAATGACGCATTTTTGCAAACAAGTAACCACCCCAGAAACTGCCTGTGAAGCTCTGTGACCTAAGGATATTTCCACTCCCCCTCCACACTTGTGCTCCCCTCATTTCACATGAGCACCAGAGAGACTTCACCAAGTTTTTCAAGCGCTAGGAGACCTATGCTCCTGCTATAACCTGGGCAGGCTGCCAGCAGCACAGACCAAAGCATCAGTCTACTCCCTGAGCTGGAAGATGCAGGCCTAGTGGCTCCAGGTCAGCAGGGATACAGACACTCAATGCACTTGCCCTTAGTGAAGGATTGCCGCATGGGTCTGGTCTAGTCTGGGTACACAGCACTCCCAGCACAGGGAATCAGGGGCTCTCAAGGCACAGAAACGAGATTCCCAGGTAGTTATGAGAAGGAAAATACCCCTGCAATGTCTTTTCCCCAGCTCCAAGCTCATCACCTGCAATGGTCCTCCCACTCCTCAGCCTGGTGACCAGGCAGGAGTTTCTCCAGGCTGGAGTGAACAAGGCACATCTGTGGCTCTCCTGGGGAACAGAAGTGCCAAGGGTCTGTAAGGAAGTATCTCCATTTATCAGGGCCACCATTCACTTGAGCAGCTCATTTGGTAAACATGATCTTATGCACAGTATGGCTTCTTGCTCTTGCAAGACTCAACCTTGCTCACTGGGGGCAGCTTTGCTTAAGCAAAGAGCTCAGGATTCAGCCCTCCCTCAGGTAAGGGAGAAGAGAAATGATGGCACGTTTCGCTGCATTCAACATCCCATGATCCTTCCAGCTTTTGAATGAGGTCTCATTGCCTCCCCAAACACTGAAACTCTCACTCATTGGGAATGAAGCTAGCTCTCATCACTCCGTCAGCCAAATGCCGTGGCTTCAGGTATGACTGCACTTGATAGAGAGAAACTTGAAAATGGCTGTGGGATTTTCCAGCCTCCGATGCAGCTCTGGTAAAGTCTGTCTTCCCAGCAGCAGAGACTGGAGCACACAACTTCTGCCCGCTCCCTAAATGCAAGTCCCCTTTGGGCAGAAGAGCAAGTGACATCAGGTAGCACACTCTCCTCCACCAGCCAGGTAAGTCCAAGTCCTCCTTAGACTGTGGTCAGCAGTGCCAGCTCTGCACCATTTTCAGAGTGCTTTCATCACCGAGGCTCTGATTTCCATCCAGTCCTGTTCCTCCACTCTGCAAGGTAAATGGAGCCTGGAGATGAACAGGATGTAAATAGGAGGCGAGGTGACATGGTTGCATTTCTCCCGTTGAAGCCGGCTCTCTCCAAAGCAGCAAGAAGTGCACAGCTCGGCGGTGATAAACGGCCTTGCTTTAGTTATCACTTTCCTTAAGTTAAGGAGAGCAGCCTAGTGATGGATGGGCTGGAATTCGGTTATCAGGGAAGGCTGTCAGCCAGAGTTGCCTATCTCCACACACATTTAGCAGGGCGTCATTATGCGATGGCATGGAGTTAAAATATGATCAAGGGTATTGAAAGAAAAAGAACAGGATTAAAAAAAAAAAAAAAAGGCAAATTGAGCAACAATAAAGGAGCATGAGGCAAGAACGTTATCGTACTAGTGACACCTTTTATCTCGGTCTGGTTAGCTAGAGCAGGGCACAAATTGGTCCTTCCTCCACTATTGTATCTTCTTGTACAAACAGAGGCAGATAAAATGTGTCACCAGTGCGATAGCATATCAATTTAACCCTAATTATCTAGGGGGTCAAACTAAGAAATAGGGGTTTCTCATTTCAACAGGTTCCTCCATCTCTGCTCAGAGGCACCACATTAATATGGAATGGGGAGGGGCAGCTGTAATTGATTTCCGTCACTCAGGTGGTCCTGGTGTATAAAAAATTAATGCTTGATTCTCCCAACTAATCAGAGCTGGTTAACGTCCATCTGCTTCTGGGTTCAGGATGTCAGGAGACAAAGAAATTGGGCCACTTTCTACACACTGCGTGTATTGATATTGAGCCGGTTAAAAGAATAAGGCCCTCTATGGGAAAGATAAAAGGACATTAAATCTTGGAGTTTATAGACCTGGTCTCAGCCTTCTAAAAAAAATCCATGCCCTGGAGACCTTGTGTTGTAAGAGATGCAGAACATTTTAATTGTGTCCTGGTCAACCCCACTGCACCGGGCTGCAAAGGAGAGGGCAGGCAGGCTCCTGCCCTGGAAATCCTTTGCTGAAGAAGGGCTGGAAAGCCTGAAGGAAGCTGCTTGGATGCCACAGCACACAACAGCAACAAGGTAATAGCCAAAGAGAAGAGCTGTCAAACCATCTCAGCCTTGCACTCTAGTTCAAAGCAAGGCTGGTCAAGGCGTCGCTCTGGACCATGCGGCACAGAGGTGCTGCTCTG